TTACTCTTAGTAGGTTTCAATTAAATCTAACCCCTAAACAGTATCATAACACAAAACCACTATTTCACAGCACTTGCACTGAATCTTGAAGAATTATTCATATGATGACCAAACTGGATTTTTAGATTTACCACTATAAAAAAAAAAAATAAAAAAATAAAAAAAATTACCTTCGGCATAAAAGAAACTTCCATTTGAATAGCAACGGAAAAACAAAAAAACAAACTGTAATCTTAATATCATGCTTTTAATACAAACTTAAAAAAACTTTGGAACAATATAAACTGTACATCTGAAACTTAAACACTCCATTAGGCCATCAAATATTGCACAATGTTCCAAAAGAAATTACACAAAGAAAAAAAAAAAAAAAAAAAAAAAAAAATCAAGTTACTTTATATTTTTTTCAGTAAATAAACTAAAAAATATTCCCCCTTCCCACCCATCGACCTGCGTTAAACAAAAAAGTAAAACAAAACCTGTTATAGTGTAACATTTACAAGTCAATATTTTAATTTTTAATATAAAGATTTCTTTAATTCGCAGTTCTGTACAAGATTAGACACTGTATCCGCTTTGAGAAGAGGCAGTTTCTGGGATTTTTTTTTTTTTTTTTTTTTTCTTTTTACTTTTTTTGAAAAAATATTTTAAATTCCTTAGTTTTTTTTTTCTATTTTCCTTAAGAAAAAACCTGAACAGAAGTATAGCTTAAATGTACGTTAGAAATATATATTTATAATATATTCCTCACATTTTTTACAAATGTAGCAAACTTTATATTTTTTTTTTTTCTTTTCTTATAAATGCAAATAAAAACTAGGAAACACATTGGAGCTAGTGTCTTTTCTTGAAAAAAAAAAAATATAATATATAACATGGGAGAAAATGTGGTGTAGCATATTTAAAACATAGTAGTTTGAAACTTGTGAAGTATCAACACCTAATTAACTTCAGGAGAGTAGCACTAATTTTGGTAACTGAAGAGTATTTCTGAGAATTTAAATTTTAATACCATTGGGACTATAAATGTAGCTTGCTCTCCACAGGATTATATATCGAGGGCCTTGAACCATAATGAAATGCAGTCCAAAAAAAAAAAAAAAAAATGAAAGCGGGTCAACTGAGGAAGGGTAATCAAGCCTATATTTTAGAAGCAAGCTTAGAATCCAGAAAAGATGCCAAGCACTTTTCATAATATATATACCTCATTTAAGTAAACGATTTGTTTAAAAAAGGTGTGTTATATGGATATTTTCTATATCATGCATACAAAAGGTTCATTCACCCAGGAATTTAACAATACATACAGGCTACTTAACAAGACTCAAAAGGCTAGTGAAACGGTCTTGGGTGCAAATTGATTATTAAAATAAGACTAACAGCATAGCAAAGCTACATTTTTGAGGAATGTGAATGCTATCAAAAGATTAGAAAATTAAATTATGCTAACTGCAGCAAAATGCTTCATTTACAATCCAGTGTTTTCCCCATTTTAACAGTAATAAAGCACCTTGTAATATTTTATTATTTTCTCCCTTACTTGTAACCTTTTTGTTTTTAAATTACCCAACTGTTGCAAGACAAATACTGAAAATCTTTCCAGGGTCATACTAAATGGAAAAATAATTTAAGAATTGACGAAGCAACAAGAGGGAACATCAAGGACTACTATTTTTCAACTTTCACCAGTACTAGTTACAAGTAACCGATTCTACATAAAACATTTGAGAACCCCCCCCCCCCCCCTCCTGAATGCTTCTTATGTACCGACCTCTGAAAATTATGAAATCTATATTTGTTAATATTTATACCTATACAAAATCAAAAAAAAATACAACAGTCAAATTCTCAGCAAATGTTGCCAAAAAATTTGAGCAATAATTTTATAAAGCGCACAAGAGTGGGGGGGATGAAAAAAAAAAAAAAATCATTCTATTACAGAAAACATTTTTCAGGTCTCTCCTCTCTTGAAAAAAGTTAAGAAAAAAAAAAATGTTACATTAGATTGTGCTTTACTATGTTTTCAAAACATACGGTTTACTAAATTTACTGATCCATGATGAAACCATAATACCATAGAAAAGGACTGGGAAAAAAAAAAAAAAACCCCATACCCAAAACATGGTTGGCTTTGCACTTGGCAGATAGCATAAAAGAGGGGGAAGAAAATGGCCTTAAATATTGATACGCACATCTGTGGTATATCTTTTTTGTGTTGATACACTCCTGTCTTAAACATCCATAATCATTTTAACCGATGTTGCAAAAAAATGCAAGACTAAATTTCTCTGTAATTTCACGGAAATCAAACATTTACCAGTCTAGCCCACAAAACTAAGAGTCATTATCAAATACTTTCTAGAGAGAGTAATCTAGAATACCTTCTGTAATGGTTGGAAAAAGGGGTGCTCTCTTCAGTTTTCATTTTTGTGTAGACACTAGTATTTTGGTGCATCTATATTCAGAATACCCGATTGTCTATTTAAGAAATAATAAAAAAAAAAAAAAAAAAAAAAAAAAAAAAAAAAATAGGGGAGAGAACGCGCGCCCCACATTATAGCCTAATTCAGCTGAATGTATGTAGATATTAACAGGTAAACAGCAGGTACATCTTATTGTAATAGTTTTATGGCCATGAAACCATCACTGATAACAGGGGAGAAAATAAGGAGTGACAAGTACCCATTACACATGTATTAGTTATATAGATCTCAACATATATAACTAGATAAAAGTGATTGATGCCCCACATGACCTGCATTTTGCATTAGACCATCAAATTGATGAAGTGAATGTTCAAAATAAGTGATAAAGGGGTAGAGTTTAAAAAAAAAAAAAAAAAAAAAAAAAAAAGGGGGGGTGGGGGGGGGAAATTGCTACACATTGTTTACAACTGGAAAAATAAGTGCAAATTTAATATGTACTCAATATAAAAAGGAGGTCTGTATAAAGTATGCAGAAAAAGACACTGCCATAGTGGTAGTATGGGGGTTTATGTGCAGTAACCAGAATCTGCACCAAGTTCCACAAAGATTGCTGCTTATGGCTCTGGTGGCCTTCTAGAACAGCTTATGTACAACATACAGAGGTGAACGTTGATATTAATACAGTTAAATATGTAAACTGGGCTTACAGGTTGATGCAGCACTGCCTTACATAGGTGTAGTCCAAATGAATGCAAATGAGAAACCCATTACATATATTTCCTGGTGACAAATCAACTGGAAAAGCAAGTGGAAGGTGTCTCCTTGCATTTAAGCAAAAGTGCATTTGAGAGTGGCAAGGCTGAAAAAGAAAAGGACCTTTAGTCTTAAGTACTAAACAGTAATTCTTTTTATTTTTGAAATCCAACATGGACATTGGCCATCTACCTCAGAAGAAAACAGTTAACCTTCACTGTTGGTCTTAAGGACACCTTTAGTAACGATGGATTTTGCATTCATTGAGAGGCTGGGCTATAATTTTTTTTTATTTTTTGTTAAATATATAATTTTCATTACTGATCCTTACAATGCATATCCCAAAGTTGTCTTAGAAAATAAAATAAATAAAAAAATGGATTTATAAACAGCTTTAAAAATATAGATATAATATAAAACTTTTGTTAATATATTATATTTATCCAATGTCATTATTTCAGCCACGCTGGCCTATTTTTGACAAGGAATAGAATATGTTTGCTATACCTAAATATGCCTTCTGTATTAAGAGGTCAGAAAGTAGAAGGAAAAAAAAATACCACCACAATGTGATCTTACAACAAAAGACACTGTCAAGCTTGTTGTAAGGGGCTCAGGCGATTTCTTATAATACTGCTAGAAGAGCAAAGAAAAAGATCTACTTTAAATTTCACCTTAAAAAGTGCAGATAAGTGGAGCTCCCAATTCTTCATTGGTGCCCATTAGGCATCCATAGTGGGAGATGAAATATTTTTGCTTTGTGTTGAATTTTCATGTAGATATAGCACAACTATTTTAGCATGCCCTCTATTAGTAAAATACAAAATAAAACTCTACATATAATCTGCAATGTCTCACCGTGCCCCAACAAGCCAAATATCAAACTCCTAATCATTCCAAACATAGTGCATTATACTGATCTACCATTTTATAGATCAACTTTAGAACACTGATGGCCAAGTATAGCCCAATCATCTTTGCTGAAATTAAACGTCTCCTGCTTTTGGGCATACTGGAACTTTTTGATAAAACATGGATCAGATCCCTTTACAGCTTGACCACCTTTGTTACAAAATGATCAAACTGATGGAGACAATGTAGAATACAGTACTGAGGACACTGTATTTTACTTTTGTCTTGCAGCAGACTTACTAGAATTGACCGTGCAGTGCTTTTAAGTAAAACTCTAAAAGGAATACAAAGATAGAAGACAAAAGTTTTGAAGACTATAAAGAGGCGAGGAGTAATAGTGCGAATAGATAAGTGTTGGAGAATTGCAAGGAAAAAAAAAGAAAAAAAAAAGAAAGTCTTTTCTCTCAGGTCTCAGTTGTTCTTCCTGGCTGGCAGAAGAGGATCTTAAAAAGACTAGCTGCAAAAAATGTACGAGTCATTTTTTTGTGTGACAACCCTGTGGTAGGGTCATTGTTGTTGATATGGTGGTGCAGACAGTCAAGAGCCTTCAGTCTTATTTTCCTTCCTCCTTAGGGCACATAAAGGGGAAACAATTCCCAAAACATTTCTACTTCTTCTGATGCATCCAATGACGAAGGTAAAAAAATAAAGAAACTGACTAGATATCCATATACTCTCCATATTTATATATATATATATATTTTTTTAATATATATGCATTTTCTTGTAAAAAGATGAGAACTTCACAAGCGTCCAGTAGCAATGCAGTCTAAAGTACATGGTTTCCCAGTAAATAGCTGTGTCACCATTGTTTTAATTTTATAAATCAAAATTAATTTTTATTTTTCTTCTTTTCAAAAGAAAAAAAAATATATTATGGGAGGAGGTTATAGAAATTCTTCAATAAATTTAATTAGCCAAGACAACAGGCTGGAAAGGCTGGCTTGGATAAGGAAGGCTGAAGTTCAATCCATCCACAAAAGGGGATTTATCATTGAATAGACTGCTCCCAGTGTTGAATGGAGTAGCAAACTGGCCTGGGCTTGGTAGATTCTGGCTATCACCATCATAGAAAAGCCCTGGTGGTCCACTGAAGACAAACTCCTTGGCATTTGGAGAAAGCTGGGATGGAGCTCCCTGGGCTGAGCTGAAGTTTAACGAATGCATTGACAGAGACAGACCCTTGTGCTTTGCCAGGTTATTGGTGGGTGATCGTGCCATGCGCTGGCCTCCTTTCTTCATCTTAGTTGAGCCAAATTTGGTAGCTGCAAAGGTGGCAGTTGTGAAGGTAATGGGCTGGGTGGCACGAGGGATAAAAGTTGGGCTCGGCGACTGACCAAAGGATGGAGATGGCGAGTTTGACAGTGAGGTCTCTTGGTTAGTGATTGGGATAAATGCTTGTGCTTCAGGATTGAAGCTACTCTTTATCTCTTTGTCCAGCTCAGTGCTGCTTTCCACATCTTCCAAGTACAATACTTTAACGGTTCCTTTCTCTCCAATTTGGTAAGACACTTCAAATGGATCAATCCACACACTAAGTTCTTCTGGTACATTTGCTCTTACATCATCTATGTCAAGCCCACTCCTGCGTGCTGCTTGCTCAACTACCGGATCCACAGTTTCCCCAATGTGAACACAGCGATAGCCAGAGCCCTTCAGAGGTTTTTCTGGGTACCAGTGCCCTTCGTATTTGCCTTTCAAAAGCCTCTCCAACTCTTCTCCAAACAGGTCAGCTCTTCTTCTTGGAAGCTTATTATACAGATATGAAATAATAAAATTCAGGGCGACCTTAATCTCCAGATGCATATTCTCTGAGGACAGGAAAACAAAAAAATATATAAAATAGTATATTACACAAAACGGAGTTATTAATTTACATATTTAAAATCACAAGACAGATTTAAAACAATACCTATGTAATTCTGATTTAATTGGATCAATTATATAAATTTTCACCAACACACAAAAAGGAAGCCATAAAAAAAAAAAAGTAATCATTACATAAAAAGGTATGTTTGGTTAATAAATAACAAACATTCACACATTTTTAAAGAACTTCAAGGAAAAAATTAAAACTACACTTGCAATGAGGCAAACGCTCGTTTTTGTCTGGGGTAGGCTTTGAATGCAGTTTCTACTTCCTGTATCTCTAGCTCCTGCAAGGCTCCATCCTCTGTGCAGCTGGTCCCCCGAAATCACTTCTCTTTGGCACTCTTTGGCGATAGTTGCTACTCTCATCACAATCCTGATTTGTAATCAAGAATGTCAAGGGGCCATTCATATCCCAGAGAGCCTAAGGCAGAGGTGAGAACTGCCTGCTGGAAAAGTGAGGGATAAGGCAGTAAAGCCTGCATTTAAAGTTGCCCAGACAAGAAAGAACTTTACCTTTGCAATGTTGGAAGAGAGGGTCTACTGCCAGGGTCATTTTATTTTTCCTTGGAGTTCAGCTTTAAAAGGGTTTCTAGATCATATAAATATAGTAATATATATATACACATCATAGTAAATAAGAGTTTTTCATTTCCAATCACATGCAAGCAGAATTCCTGTTTTGTGCTGCAATTTTTTTTTCTCCTTTCTTTATTTCACACAATTAGGCAAAGTACACAGCCTCTCATTCATGTAGTTGAGGAAAGTTTACGTTGCCCAGTGCAAATAGTTTACATCTGTAATTGACCTTTAACAAGGTCCGTCCTGACGCCAACTCTACATCCTCTCTGTATTGTGCCTTTTGGGGGAAAAAAAAGCAAACAAACAAACAAACCAAAAGACCACATATATACCCATATGCTGCAGCTCTGGTATGATGCTGCAGCTGTCCCCCACCTGCTCTAACCCTGAGAACTGCACAATCACATGGACACTGAACGCTCAGTTCACCATCTTCTCAGAGCTGTCAATCACAGCTCTCAACCCTGACCCTCCAACATTCACTGGAACGCCAGCCTAGAGTGAAGGTGCACGCAGCTAGCTTCAGCTCTCAGCTACGTGTTGAGAGGCAGAGCCAGCTGTCAGGCAGCTGGGTGGTTCCTGACAATGTAGTTGGGATCGGACATCAAGCAAAATTAAGAATTAAGTGCACTCCTGTGACCCAGAAGAGAAGCAACAGCAAAAAAAAAAAAAAAAAAAAAAAAAAAAAAAAAAAGGAAGATTTGGCCTTACTTCTCTTAACATTCTGAGGGAGTAAGGTGTTCTGTTCTCAGGAAAACAGCTAAGTATGTATTGGTAGAACCCTACAGGAAAGTGGACACTTGTAGGGGCAGGTTTAATCTGATCATTATAATAGAAGAACACAAAGTAATATAGTGTTTTTTTTTTTAGGATGCAAAAGAGATATGCAAGTCAAGATAAATAAAATGAATGTTAAGTAGTAAAGGAGGATAGGCAATGGTCTATAACTATAGTACGTAGTAAATAATAGTATTTAAAATTTATTCTGAGATAAGAATTAGGGATCTTGAGTTATTCAGAACCCAGCGGTCAGTGATGGACCAATGAGCTGGGGGGGAAGATTCTCTGTCCCACAGATGAACGTCACAATGGGGCGGAAATGCTGAACACAAGTTCATCACTAATAATAATAATAATAAAGCAAGTTTTACATTTTCCCTCCCAGACTTCTAACATCACGATTGTCAGGTTCCATAGCAATGGCACCATAGGCAGCAGCAGAAAAATGCAGTCGTACAGTGGAACTGCACTGCATCTGAGCACCACAAACCGAAAATGCCATTTAATTCATTGGTAATATTCAAAAGCAACTCACCTATCCATACATGTCTCCATTGCTTTATTTTGTTGAGAATTAATTTTGAAACACCCCTGGCAGTGGCCATCTTGAGTATAGGCAGATAATTCATGTAGAAATTACTTCCTGGAATCCATATGCCCTTAGCTCAGGCATTGGCTGAGCAGAGAACCCTCCCCTCCTGAAAGCTCCTGGGATGTATGACACCACTTGAAAGTTTAATATATAATTTCCTATCCATTTACTAAGGCTAGCAGCATAAGTCCTCATGCACACTGGATGTATTTACAGCGGCTGCTTTTGACGTTTTTTTCTACAGCCAGTAAACTTCCCAGCATGTTATCCTATGTGTTCATGCACACACAGGCTTTAATTAGCATGTTTTGGCAGGGGCACTTTTAGTTGAAAAAAAAAACCAAAAAAAAAAAAAACCCCCAGAACTAGTGGGTTTCTAGAGGAGTTTTTTTAGCTCTAACAAATGCTCGAACGCTGGTAAACAGAAAAACGCAGCAAACTAGTGTTTTGAGCGAAAACATTTTTTGTGTAAAAAAAACACTAAAAAGTGGAAACGCTAACTGCTAAAGAAAAACAAAAAACAAAAAAAACCTTGAGTTTTTTAACGCAACTTTACACAGCTAATGTTACCAGCGTTATTAAAAACGCCCCGTGTGCATGGAGCCCAAGGATTAAAAATAGTCAATGTTGATGGAGAGAATGAAGTTCCGCTTTAAGTAAAGCCCATGCATGAGAAATAAGAGTAGGGTAAAGTCTGCCAATAATACGCAGGGAACATACACAGTAAACAATATCATGGTGGAGACACTCAGACATGTGCTGCTGCCATTCCAAAAATGGATAAGTAGCCACTCCAGGCACATGCCAATTACCTGCCCCCAGGCTCCTGAGCTGGAACTGCAGTGGCCACTCTCAGTGCAGCACGTTCCACTCCAGTAGTGGAGGTTGCAGTCAGGCCTGCACTGCTCCGATCTGCACACACCACCCACTGAGATTTTGTCCTCCGGCAACCTTAACACCTATGCACTCCACAATGGTTTTTGCCTATGGATAGGAACCTTCCCACTCAAAACGCCCCCCCCCCCATGACCACTGCATGAACCTAACACCTACTGCATACATCAAACCCATCTTGCTGCATGCACCCAATACCGGTTTCAGCACCTTCACCCAACACCTCCTCCACTGCTCGCATTGCATGCGTGTTGACACCCTCTGTACATACTACTGCATGCATGTTGGCAGTCAGCTATCCACCACAGCACCCAAAACACAAACAATCTCCATTTACCCACAGCACCCAACTCCCAGTTCACTATACATGACCCACTGCCCTTCCCTATCCAATGCACACCATCATGCCCTACATACCTGAGACCACTCTGTGTACCTTTATATAATACACCCCTGTTCTCCTTATCATATTACTATCCTCTGTTCCCAAATCTCATTTCTTTACCCTCTGCTCCACCCCACAACCTGTACATCTCCCCCTCACTGCTATCATCTCCCTACTATTGCTCTCTTCACCTCCCCAAAATGCCTCTTCCACTCCTCCATTCTCCTTTTCCTCCTCCTCCATTCCCTATATCCCTCTGCCCCTCCCAAACAATTGTATATTGTGTCCTCACTGCTTCCTTCGCCCCTCTATGGCACCCACCACCTCCTCCTATCACTCCACTCTCCCACTGACCCCAACACCTCCACTAGTAGTTTCTCACGCTCCTGCACATCCCGCTCCCATGCCACCTTTCTCACCCTTGTCCCCCGCGGTTATGAGGAGGAGATCTCCCTGAATCCTGGCCCTCCACCACCTCCCTCACGCCGCACAAAACCCTCCCACCTCCACATCCTACTGCAACCCCCACAACTTAGTATCTGTCCCCCTGCTCCCTAAAATCTCCCCCCCGTTTTCATGTGCACTCCTGAACACCCCGATCGGTGTGCAACAAGCTTACCGCCATCCACGACCTCTGTTTCCGCTCCCTCAACCTCTAGCGATCACGGAAACCTGGATCCAGCCCACTGACTCTTACCTCCCCTGCTGCACTCTCCTACGGAGGTCTCACCTGGACCCACTCACCCAGGCCTACAGTCGTAAAGGTGGGGGGGTTGGTCTGCTCCTGTCACCGCAGAGCACCTTCCGAGTCCTCCCAAACCCCCATCCCTATCCTTCTCCTCCTTCGAGGCCCACTGCGTCCGACTATTCTCCCCAACCCCCTGAAGATTGCTGTGATATACCGGCCTCCTGAATCCATACCCCGCTTCCTGGATGACTTCTCCTCCTGGCTACCCTTCTTCCTCTCCTCTGAGCTACCCACCATCATCCTTGGGGATTTCAACATCCCTGTCAACCTCGACAACCCGGACACAGCCCGTCTCCTCCACCTAACCTCCTCCTTTGCACTTGCACAGTGCATACAATCCTACCACCCACTCCGACGGAAATATCCTCGACCTTGTCTTCTCCAACCGCTGCGCTCCCCACAACCTCACTAACACCCCCTTCCCTCTCTCTGACCACAACCTGATCACCTTCTCTATCTCCTCTCGTCCTCCAACGCCTACCCCTCCAAATGTCACACTACTACCAGCCGTAACCTCCGCAACCTTAACCCTGCCTCCCTCCACTCTGCAGCTGATCAACTCCACGACCGCATCCTCCCCCTGTCCTGCCCCGACTTGGCTTTTGACCGCCTACAACAATGCGCTCTCAACAGCCCTGACTCACTAGCGCCTTTTAACCACAACGCAACATCAGACCCCGACCGCTCCAGCCCTGGCAGACTGATCACACCAAAACCCTCAAACGACAAAGTCGGTGCCTTGCCCTGGAGCGACTATGGCGCAAAACCAAATCCCAACAAGCCTTCACCCGCTACAAATCTGCCTTCCACACCTACACCTCCTCCCTCCATGCTGCCAAACAGGCCTACTTCTTGACCCTCATCAAGGCCCTCTTCTCTAATCCTCGCCGACTCTTCTCTGCCTTCAACTCTCTACTCTCTCCACCCCCCCCCTCCACCCAGTACATCACTCACTG